ACATCAACAATTCCCCACTCAAATCAAACCTCTTTTCCAAAACTATTTTCAAAACTCTTTACTAAACAAATTTTCTACACTAAAATCATAATTCTACAACACACAAACTCAAAATAAAACTCATACTCTCAAATTACATTTACAAAACACAACCAAACGCAGGCTTTGTGTTTTTGCTTCCGCTTATGTTTGATTTTCTATCTAAGGCCGAAGGTAATCTCTTGATTACTAGTCGGTTATGATCCTAACTTCTAGGGGCAGGTTCGAGTCATGACAATTTTGGATTAATTGAGTTTTGTGCTAACCTTGATTAGTTAAGGCTACTTGTGTTTGATTAAAATGATGAATGATTAGTACCTAATCTAATCCTATTCATGATCCACAATGTGATTAAGTGTATGATGTGCTAAGGCATTTTGTAATGTTGCGTGTTGAGGATTAATATCCTTGAGTGAGTGCGTGCTGAGAAATCTATGTGGGTGTACTAAGAAATCTGAGTTGGAGCTGGTTCAATGCCGATGGTGAGATCTTCTTTGATAAGGGAAAATGCTAATCAATGGAGAGTATTTGCACTCGTCCCAAAAAATACTCGGAACACTAGGGCTGCTATCCCAAGTACCTTTACTGTTGTGAATGAATATCTATGCATTATTTGACTTTGGACTTATATATACACCATTGCTCGGAATGATTGTTTTATTACTTGTTCCTAATGATTAGATTATCGAAACCATGATTTTATGATTATGTGATTTGTTTGAATACCTCGGATAGCAAACTCTATATTATGTGTGACTATGTACCTTATTTAAAGATTGACTAGACTATTTGACTACACTATGGAAACTATGATTTTATGATTCTATCACTTGTTTGGAACTCTTGCATGACGAACCCTATGCTATGTACAACTGAGGAACCATGTATGATGTGTTACTATGTACCTATATACCTACATATGTGACTTATTTGGAAACTACTATATTGAACATGACATGATACCTCCTGGTATGAACTACCTTGACATGACTTTGAGAACTAATGAACTTAGAACAATTGTGAAATTATTGACTATGTACCTAAGCGAATGGAATGAGACCTGTAGAACCAAATGTGCTTTGTTTGAGGATGATGGAGTGGAACCTTTATATGCTTTGATCTGATAGAACCATTATCTGATCTGATTATGTTTATGGGGGGATTATGAATTGCTTACGAATAGCTGATCGGGTTATGTTTGCTAATGGGATTGATAGACCGAGAACTTGAGTCTGATTTGAACATTTTCTCTATCTTCAAAACTTTATGGGGGCTGCCAACAACAGATTGATTTGATTGTGAACAGTATTAAAACATTTACCTTTGACTGATTAGGAGTATATATTACTAGCGATTGGTTGCTTAGGTGTTATTAACTTTTGCAATTCGATGCTATGAGATTTGCTAGAAGCGGATTGTTTTGATTATGAACACTATTTGGGAATAAAAATCTCAACCACTTGGAAGTATATAATTAAACTAATATAATTATGATATGCATGTTGGGGTTATTATAAGGGATTTATTATGTATTCGAGTGTAGAATACTCAGCGGTGTTGTGCGTGTTGTTGGTGGTTGAGGCGTGGTAAACGTTCTTGGGGTGCAAGTTATAGTTGTTGTTCGAATGTCTTTGCGGCTCCGATATGTTTGACCAAGATCCGAGAAGTTATCCCAAGTCTGGGTCTAGTTTTGAGTTTATGGTTGTCTTTCTATTGGTGATTGAGTTGTCTTTGTGTTAACTTTTTCTTTAATTTTGGGATCAAAATTGCCTAAGATGGAAAGGTTGTAGTACTTTGGGAAAAAAAATATTTTGTTTCTTCTTTTTCGCTCGATCGATGGATTGTTCGCTCAAGCGGTCTAGCGGGTCATCCAGTACTTTTGCAGGTCTGAGATTCATTCAGGGAGATGTTGAAGTTCGCTCGAGTGCAAGTTTGGTAGCCCAAGTGGTTTTCCTTGTTTGGTCTGAAGTTCTAGGAGTGTGCATTTTGCGCTCGAGCGAAGGTTTTATTGCTCAAGCGATGCGATGTCTTTGATGCTCAAGTGCAAAAATGGTCGCTCGAGCGGTCTGTTAGAGATTAGCAAGTATAAAACCCACTTTTTGTTCATTTTCTTCACTTTTCTCCCTTTACTCTCCCTCACCTATTTATGTCCAAAAACCCTAGGCACTAAACCCTTGATTTCACCTCATTACACCAAGGATCCACCATAGATCATGAAAGATTAGTGAAGGAGAAGTAAAGATCTTTCTTTTAACCGATTGAATCGCAGTTTCGTAGGGGTTTTTCTTAGGTCTTCCTATGTAGCTCTCATCTTTGAGATAGGGAGTTCTCTTAACTCTAATTATGTATGATTTTGTTTCATTATGTTGTATTATGGGAAGTATAGGTTAATTTGAGTTTGAAATCTTTGATTAAAAGATGGGTTACATTCAAAACTGGGGTTTTCACTCAAATTTTTGAAGTATTTTGAATGTTTCGAGATATTGATGAGAAATATTTGATGATTACTGGATTTGATGATGAAATGACGAAAATTCCAAATTTTCTTGAAACCCTAGATTTGAGATTTTGATTTTAAATGAGGGTTTGAATTAAATTGGTACTTTATGTTGAAATTTCAATTAATCTTCTTGAGTATCCGTATGTGGAATAAAATTTGTGTTCTGACGATGTTAATGGAGGATTCAAGAAAGTTGTTTTGGGTGGAAATCCGGAAATGTTGAAAGGCTTAATGTGAATTGGTATATAATTAAAATTAATGGTGGGGAATGACTTGGAGATATGGAAATATATATGTATTTCATATCATAATTATTTGTTGATTTTGTGTGATTGAATTGGACTTCAGTTAAGTTACAATATTGTGAACTCTTGCATTCTATTGCATCTACAGGGTGATGGATCAAGTGTTGGGTTATGTAATTGGGCGTGTGTAATCTTAGTATATGTTATGTGTGTTGAGGTGCGCAAATGCCCTTACCGTGCTTGGAGGCCAGAGAACTTAGAAAAGTTTCAAGTTAAGTCAAATTTTCGACAGGAACCCTTTTTAATACACTATCTTTATACGAAAAGAAATAGGGGCTAGGTCTTGACCCGAGCTGTTGGAGTAATCTCTTTGTAAAGTTACGTTTGAAAGTATAATTTGAAAATTTCTTTGAGAATGATGTATTAAGAAATTCTTATTTTGTATAATGAATGAATGTCATTTTTGTTAAATGTATTCGTGGCATTTTGTTAAATGAATGAATGTCCATTTCTTATTAAGAAATTCTTATTTTGGATGTACCACGTATCATGTTTTAAGAATGGAATTTGTTCGTGATAAATACCATGCTTTGTAAATAAGATATGTGTTTCTAATTATATGTTTGAACTTCGTTCATTTAACCACTTTACTTTAATGCTACTCATTGGGCCTTAGCTCACCCCATTCCCCTATATGTACATAGGTATTCAGCAAGTGGTTCTAGCTTGGAGTTTTGCTTGCGTTATCCCTTTGTGAAACTTTTGGAGATGTCACTTTGAGCCGAGGCTTTTGTTTGCCTACTATTGGAAAGTTTTGAGAAGTCAAGAATTGAGAACTTGTGAATGAGAATGTTTGCCTAATGTAAATAAAGTTACGTCTGTGTAATAATATGTATTTGTCATTTCTATATCATTTATGCACTGCTCATTGGACATGTTTATTTTCTGACAGCTTCCGCTTTAGGCCCCATTATAATTAAATATTTTTGTGAGTTGTCAGGAAGGTCGTACATAATATATGATTACTGGCTGGTCACCACTCTAACCTCTAAGGGTAGGTTGGAATCATGATAGTTTTGGTTTGTTTTTAGTATCTTAGAGAGTCCTTTTTTTATCTTTTCTGTTAGTGTTTTTATGTGTCTTGATTTCATTGTATTTTTGCATTTATAGAGTTGTTTTCCGTTTGTTGTTTGTTTTGTTGACATATCATCTTATTCAAAAGCCTGTGAAATGTGAACCGTTTCTTTTTTCAATAAAATCAAAATGCTTTCTATGTTCGTTTGAAGTGATGTGCTAATGAATGCATCACGTGCAAAACTGTTTAAACCCAATCAGTTTTTTCTTTACAAAAAGTTCTGAAAAAGAAGATAAGCAAGTGTTGTACAATGGTTCTCCTAACTGCTAAAGCAACTGAGAGAGAGAGAGAGAGAGAGAGAGAGAGAGAGTCCTCTGAAATCACTCTACACCTCTTCAGGAGAAGGCTCGTCTCAGTTGCTTGCATCTCCATTCCCACCATCATCAGTCTTACCGTCGTCAACCTTGTCATCCATTGGAGGAGTCTCCTCTCTTGTAGGAGTAAGAGGATGTGATGGAGGAACTACTGGAGCCTACAATTACAGTTGTCAAAATTAGGGCATGTTATTTCACTTTCCAATATTATTTTTCATTCTAATCAAATAGGCTATGAATTTCTGAAGGTAAAAACCAAGTACGTAAAAGAAACAAAACTTTAACTCTTATTTTATTGAAAAAAAAGTTATAAAAGTTGATAATTAGATCAGATCAGATTTTTTCATATCCGATCCATTTAATAATTAGATTAAACAAATTATCAGATCTTTTCTTTAACGAATTTAGATTTTTAGCGAAAATTCGGATCCGATTCAGATAAAATCAATCCTCTGACAAGTCTAATGCCAATAAGGGTTATCGAAGAAACCAAAGTCCAAGACCATATTCAAAGATCCTAATCTGTCATCATCTTGTATATTTATAAGCAAAATGAATAAGAATTTTGAAGAAAAAAAAGAAGACCATCAATCAACACAACATTTACAAAAATGTTCTCAACAGCCCTCTCTAGTTTGTTACTTTAGACTTTCTCGAACAACTAATCTTGTCCCAACCTTCTATTGAATTTAGTATGTTCCTGTTAATCCAAGGAAAACACACAAAAAGAAAATACATTATAATTATAATCACATTGTCTATTTGAATTAGGTCCATAGTTTTTCCAAATATATACCTGACAAGTTTTCAGTCATTGATGATGTGCTTGAGTAACTTTTTGAGCTCTCACATCCTGATTGTATAAGCAGAGGGTCGCTCATCACCTCCTGCATATATAAACACTGTTATTATTATGTTAAACCTTCTATATCCCTAACTATCTATATTGTGAACCTCAATCTTAAGAGTTTGGCATGCATGGTTGTTTAGTTTTTTTTCCATTAAGGAAATCCAAGGATCCAGGTTAAACGCTACTGCAGAATTATGTTGTCAGTTGTGAACCAACAATCAACTGATATGTCTCTAACACTACTGACATCAATGATTCTTTTGATAGGTTCTTTCCTTGTATTTTCAAAGAATTCTAAAAGATTTTTCACTTATGATTTTTAATAATGGAGAAAAATTCCATTAAAGTGCTAAATAAATGACAATATGATATATATAGATATATATATATAGTAAAGTATATATGGACAATGCTGCTTCATATATATGAGATTGTCTACCAAATTTCCAAATTCTAAATAATTATGAACTTTCTTTAGTTGCACTAACACTAACCTGTGCCATGGAAACATCGTTATGTTTGGGGGATAGGATTGCACTAGCAGTCCCACTAGCACCCAACAAGAAATGGCTCATCTGTTCTTCACCAAAGTCTCTTAATCTATCAAGCTCTGGCATAACAACCTTGCCAAGATCTGGTCTGTCTTTCCGCCTTAACTCTGCACATTGGACTGCTATCTTTGCAAAACATAGGACCTCTTTGATAGGCCAATCTGGGACAGTAGGGTCTAACATCTCAACAAATGTTCCTTTCTCTATAGACCGTCCCACTTGGTGAGCCAAGCCCATAGCTGGCTTTGCTGTTATCAGTTGTAAAAGCATGACCCCTAGTGAATATACATCAGATTTAATACCAAGCATTCCAGTTTGTTGATACTCTGGATCAATGTAGCAAAAGGTTCCAGCAGTTGATGTCATTCGATACTGTGTTACATCGTCAGCTACAGAGGGAGGAACAAGCCTAGCTAATCCAACATCACTAATCTTACTAACGTAGTTGTGATCCAACAAAATATTGGCAGGTTTGAGGTCACGATGCACCAATGGCTCTGGCTTGGTCTGGTGGAGAAATAGCATGCCTGTGGCAATCTCTGCTGCAATTCGAAACCTAAGTTGCCAAGACAAAGAAGGGGTGTTCCCCCGTCTGAAGATACGGTCTTCTAAACTACCATTAGCCATGTACTCATAGACTAGACAACCATATTCTGGACAAGCTCCGAGGAGTAGTACCATGTTGGGATGTCGCATGCAGCTTAGTACTTCAACCTACAATATTAATATTAATTTAATTTGACAAGGAAAAAGAAAGATCACATTAATTCTAAAGTAGAGCTTGTTGCTTGATTTTCCACTCATTAATTTAAGCGGTGTTTGGTTTCTATCATGAAAGTATCTGATCAATTTTATTTTGGAGTTCATTTTATGTATAAATTACTATGTTTTGTTTTTCTTATCATCACCTCTTGTTGAAATTGCTCTCTCCCTTGAGCAGCGTCTGGACGTAAAACCTTTACTGCAACAGGTGTATGATCAAGATAACATTTAAAAACTGGGCCATAGCCTCCTTCCCCAATCTTGCGAGATTCATCAAAAAAATCTGTTGCTACTTCAATCTCCTCAATAGTGTATTTCCTATACCTAACATCATTTGGGACCAATCTATCAAATACATTCTTCTTATACTCTGCTTCCCCAATGATATTCATTTCAACATTTATTCTTCGTTGTGATTCCAATTCTGCAATCCTTTGAGCTGTTTCAGTTGTCTCCATGGCTGCCGTACACTTCGCTTTCTCCTTCTCTACAATTGCCAATGCAGCTTCCTCAGAAAGCCGAGCCTCTTCTAATCTTCGTTCTTCCTCAAGTCGCCAACGTTGGAGCTCCATAGCCTATGTTAGATTCTTATTTCATTAGCATTAACACTAGCAACTGTGATTTTTAAAATTTTAAAATGCATAAAAAATATACATGTATTTTTAGAAATTATCCAGTACTCTTGGGGTACCACTGTGATATGTACACATGGTACTCCTGATCAATAAAGGCACACAAAATAAGATAAATGAAGCCAACCTTTGTCTCTTACCCAACCAACAAGGTGGGTCAGATCGGCTTCACTCATCTTATTACTATTGCTCTTGTTGATTTAGGAGTACCACATCAACGCGCTTTGTTAGTAATTTGGAAATACTGAATGATTACTTGTGGGTTGTTTTAGTGGCTACCTTTTGTTTTGCACAAAGTGCTTCTTTGCAAGCTGTACTATACATCTCCATTGTTTGTTTAAGCTCTAACTTTAGTCGCCTCATTTCAGCTTCCACCTCATCCTGCATGTTTTTAGTAAGATGAGAGGCAATCATAAGAATAATTTATAGTGGGAAGGAGGGGGACTATTTTGGGAGAAGAATATTGATGCGTTAAGTTGATCCTTGGTTAAACATACCCATCATATTACTACTATGTTCCCTTTTTAAGTTCTTGTGAAAATTTCAAAAGTAAAATGGTGTTTATATTATTACTTACTCAATTAGAAACCCCTCAAGATCATGCATAATAATGTTTGTTTTATGTGATTTATGTATCTTAATTAAGTATGGGTATTGTTGATATCATTGTCAAATGAGGTCCGTGTGTGCCAATGCAACAACCAGTAAGGTATGTAGTATAAAGTTATATGTAAGGTAAAATAGATTTAGTAAAGTATATATACACATAATCCAAAAATTGATGCTCAAACTTGAAATATTGCATATGAAACAAACAAGATTGGATTGGCGTACATAGTAGTAGTGTAGTACTATACTTAGTATATATGAATAAAAAGAATATTTAATTGTGAGTTGTAGATATTAAGAGTAGTTAGAAGATTTTTACCATGCTTTGTGATGAACATGATGTTCTATTACTCTCTAACTCTATTGAGGATGATGAAAATTCAAGCGGAGAGCAGGTAGATTCAAAACCCCCCTGCAACAGCTTAGATGAGGCTGCTCCTAGTGACCCAAAGCTGCTATGTTCTGAGCTTGTTGAATTTTGATAGGCTCCTTGTCCCGATTCCATGTAAATAGACATGCGATCAGTAGTACTGCTTGTGCTTGGTCTATCAGAAGAGCTTACAAATGATATGTCAGTATCGGATTCTAATAGCTCGCCGCCCAACTTTCCATGGAATAAGTCTTCTCCTCTATCAAACGGTAACCTATTTTCCCACATCAATAAAATAATAACAATGGTGAATGATGGATTAAAATTTGATTTGAATATCTTATCATTATCATCTTTGTCTTCAGTTCCATCAGCAGGTGACAATTAATTAGCTAAAAGTTCAATTTGAATAACCAACAAAGCCACAATTTGAATTTTTTTTGTCTTGTTTTGTGAATTTTAATTTATTTTAAGCATGTTACTTTTTTTGAAACAGCCAAAGTAAATTTATTGAAAATTGTCAAGCAAAGAAACATTGATTATCAACCAAAGCAGGAGCCCAGCAAAGCTCACAACAGGGCAATAAGGTTGGAAAGTTATCAACCAAGCAGCCCACTAGACAGAAGCATCCCACCAGCACAGAGACTCAGAGACAGCAACTGACAAAACCCCAAGCAAATTGCAAGTCTGTTTAAATGGTCCTCCAACGTTGGATCATGAACACAGAACAGAGCAGTCCCAGAGCAAACTGCAGGTCTGTTTCAATCAGCACATAACAGCAGGTCTCCAATGCACCAAGACAGGAATACCCCAGCAGGAGCATCTCCATTGCAGCAGCCTCAAGACAGCTCCAACCCAATGTCAGCTGCCTAAGGCAGATCTGCTCCCCAGACTCAATCTTATTTGCCTCAGGTTGATTAAGAATTTTACTTGTATGTAAACAATTTTTTTAGTACATTTTAGTTAATATAAATCTGTACTACTATATAAACTGGTCAAGTCACTTGTATGAACACTCCTTGTCACGGTTCTTTTTTTTTTTTGGTAATTAAGTCATAAATTAAAGACGGAAAATGTACAGATTTACAAGGGAAGTACCCCAGGCACCTAACAAACTAAACAAGCAAGACCAAACAAACAAACCAAAATAGAAAACTTGAACCTTAGCAGCAAGAATGGATGAAGCCCTCAAGCCTGTTTAAGCATACCATGATTATTTTGATCCACATATATTACACTTGTGTAATTGCTTCAATTTTAAATTCCAATTATCAAATTTTGATAACTACTTCAATTTCTTCCTCCATCTACATTTTTATCTTTTTTCAATGAATGAAATGTCTACCACCTACATTCAATTTGTAGACTTTCATGTCACACTTGTGCACACCTTCTATAACACACACACACACAGATACATATATATGTGTGTGTGTGTGTGATTATATGTGTGTTTATTTCAGTTTCATTCAAGTTTTCATATTAAAACTAACTAAAATTTTCATTTGTATTTCACTTATCATCGGAATAAATGACAAATACTTACCCAAAAAGGGAATCAATGAAAAATATTCACCACCCAACCCCAAAAATACATATAAAAATAAAAATAAATTAAATTAAACTATGTAAGTAATTGTGACTCACTTGACAGATTCGTAGTCTTCTTGCAAATTGCGAGGTCTACGTGGTGTCCTTTCTCCTATTGACACAAGTTGAACATCAATTAATTATATCTTTTCTTTTGTTGTTAGTGATTGTTGTCATATCATACTTAATAAAAATATAAACAACATTACATTGAATAGCATAATTTGCATTTGAGAAGTTTGCAAACCTTTCATACTACAACTATGCCTGGAGCTGCAGCTGGAGCGTGAATCAACGAAAGAAGTAGTAGTAGAACTAGCAATAGAAGTAACACTTTTGTGTGTTTGGAATATTTGGTTGTGAAGAGGAGAAGTGAACGGTGCTGAGCGGCAAGCATTTCGCACAGAAGAGATCTTTCCTTTAGAGATGACATAAACAGTACAGAAATCTGGTGCCCCTTTTGATACATTGCTTGGAATGTCTGAAATCTTGAATCTTCTGTGGTAGAAAGTTTATCATCACATGTATTCATATGATATTCATGCCATGATTTACTAGTCAAGTTATGTATGTTATAGAATGGGTTGTGCTATTCTAGCCCAAAAATTAGACTCACTTTTCAAACCCAACGATGTGACAATCTATTAGAATATTGAGGTAACTCTCTCTCTATTTATCATATCTTCTCTAATTATCAACTAATCATCTCATTTACACATCATTGATTCTAGATAGTGAGTCTAGAAAGTGGGCTTGTATTTCATTTTCTATATAGAATAGATTCATTAATGTTTCATAGCCTCCTTTTTTCTCTCCCTCTCCCTCTCCCTCTCCCTGCATGGGAATGTGAAACAAATTTGCTTCTTGTTTGCCCCATTTGTGTTGGTTAGATTCTACATGAACATGTTTTATATATCATCGAATCCAATTCAAATTAGTATTAGTTTTACAAGGAATCATTAATTTTATTCCTTGTAAGGAATTGTGTGTTCTCTTTACCTATTGAATTAATTGTTGAAATCAAGCTTACATTCTCATCTTAGCTGAGGAAATTAAAGAAAATAAATGTTTGTACATCTCAATTTATATTATGAAAATATATGGGTCAAACTTTAAATAATCTCTATAACAGAAGAAAAAAAAAAAAAAAAAAAAAAAAAAACTAGTAATATTATGACCTTCTGAGAAAAAGAAAAAGAGGTTTTAAAAGGATGTGTACACACTGTAACATTGATATTTTAGTGCATCTCAAATGGGATGGAAACATTTGCCCATTGAAATCAGAAAAGTAAATTCTTTTATAGTAGATTGAGCTTCATGACAAAATGCATTTATTGACGATGAATATTCAACTATGTTGACTTTCATTATCTTATTTGGAGTTCATTTTCATTTTGTTTGTTGGAAACAATCTTTTTTTACTAGAGCTAGGGTGTTTTTTTTTTAGGTTGGTCCTTACTAACTGTAGAAACTTTTTTTATTATTATGATTTTGATGCTTGCATATGATTTATTCTTGTGCCAAATTAGTTGTGATATATTTTTTTAGTCGTGAGTGTTGTAGTTTGGGATCTCATGTGTGTAGTTTTTTAATTACATCAATACATATATATATATATATATATATATTGTTGACCAAAAAAACCAAAAAAACAAAACTTCCTATTGAAATACTTGAGTTCATGTTGTATATATGTTCTCTGATGTAGCATAACACAAGTGTTGGTAATTAATGAATGAGGACAAGCAATTGATTATTAGAAAGAAAGAAGGGAGGACACGTTTGTCTCACCTGATAAAGCCATGTCTTGATGAGGCACCAAGAACCAAGTTCTCGATTGCAGTATAAGTAACATACTCTAATAATGCTTTCACTATATCTGTATCTTCAAGTATGACATCAAGACACTGTATCTGTTACATAAAGTCGAATAAATAAATTGTTGTAATTAATTTAACCAGAAAATAAATGTTTTGTTATGAACTTAGCCTCAAGGGAGGAATTATAGGATGCCTCCTAATTTATATTTTTCACATGAAAAATTGTATTTAGAATATGAGATAAATTACTAGTAGGTCTTAATAGTTATAATTAATTTTCATTAAGTCCTATTAAATTCATCGTTGAAAGTTAGTCCTATTAGAATCATCGCTAAAAAGACTTTTTGTGATGATTATTTAAATCTGTCGTCAAAAACTGACAATTAATGATATTTTCTGTGATGATTTTATAATTTTGCCACTAAAAATTGACAATTAAAAATGTTTTATGTGACTTTTTTTTTAAATCTATCTCTAAAAACTAAAAATTAGCGATATTTTTGTATGACGAATTTTTTAAATTGTCATTAAAAACTAACAATTATTGACATTTTTTTGTTTGTTTTATAAAAATATCACTAATTATTGCAAGATCTATTGGGTAATATGTCCAACTATTGAGATTTGCATATAAGTCCCCCTTAACTAATATGAGGTTCTTGCTGGATTAGTCCTGAAACCCTCACCAATCTTTCGGGACAAGTACTAATATATGATTGTGTTTGATCTCCCCAGCCAACCTAATTGGAATTGTAGAGTTTTTGGCTATGATACTCTACACACTTCTCTCTTTTATTGATATAAATTATATTAAAGTTTCGTTTGGAAAGTGGGTTGGCATTTTAATTTTTTGATTTTTTTGGTTATTTTAGCCTGAGCTAAAAAACTTGATTTATGAATGATTTTTTGGTTTTTTGGCTCTTTTAGCTTTTTTTTGTGAGAGAATAGTGTAATGATTATAGGTTGGATGTGATATTTTGTTTGTTGTGGCTAAAATAATTTATTTTTATCTTTTATGACTAAAATAGCCACAAACCATCTTCCCAAACTTAGCCTAATATTTTACTTCCTTCTTCGATAAAATTACTTTCTTTTACTGATTAAAATACAAAAAATTAATAAAAGAGTTAGACAGGCCTTGTTAGGAGGTATAAAGCTTTGACTCGCCCACTTGCATATGAGTCGTCTCTTATCTAAACTATTAAAATAAAGTCTTCTCTTTTTTTTTTTTGAAACAGCCAAAGTAAATTTATTGAAAATTGTCAAGCAAAGAAACATTGATTATCAACCAAAGCAGGAGCCCAGCAAAGCTCACAACAGGGCAATAAGGTTGGAAAGTTATCAACCAAGCAGCCCACTAGACAGAAGCATCCCACCTGCACAGAGACTCAGAGACAGCAACTGACAAAACCCCAAGCAAACTGCAATTCTGTTTAAATGGTCCTCCAACGTTGGGTCATGAACACAGAACAGAGCAGTCCCAGAGCAAACTGCAGGTCTGTTTCAATCAGCACATAACAGCAGGTCTCCAATGCACCAAGACAGGAATACCCCAGCAGGAGCATCTCCATTGCAGCAGCCTCAAGACAGCTCCAACCCAATGTCAGCTGCCTAAGGCAGATCTGCTCCCCAGACTCAATCTTATTTGCCTCAGGTTGATTAAGAATTTTACTTGTATGTAAACAATTTTTTTAGTACATTTTAGTTAATATAAATCTGTACTACTATATAAACTGGTCAAGTCACTTGTATGAACACTCCTTGTCACGGTTCTTTTTTTTTTTTGGTAATTAAGTCATAAATTAAAGACGGAAAATGTACAGATTTACAAGGGAAGTACCCCAGGCACCTAACAAACTAAACAAGCAAGACCAAACAAACAAACCAAAATAGAAAACTTGAACCTTAGCAGCAAGAATGGATGAAGCCCTCAAGCCTGTTTAAGCATACCATGATTATTTTGATCCACATATATTACACTTGTGTAATTGCTTCAATTTTAAATTCCAATTATCAAATTTTGATAACTACTTCAATTTCTTCCTCCATCTACATTTTTATCTTTTTTCAATGAATGAAATGTCTACCACCTACATTCAATTTGTAGACTTTCATGTCACACTTGTGCACACCTTCTATAACACACACACACACAGATACATATATATGTGTGTGTGTGTGTGATTATATGTGTGTTTATTTCAGTTTCATTCAAGTTTTCATATTAAAACTAACTAAAATTTTCATTTGTATTTCACTTATCATCGGAATAAATGACAAATACTTACCCAAAAAGGGAATCAATGAAAAATATTCACCACCCAACCCCAAAAATACATATAAAAATAAAAATAAATTAAATTAAACTATGTAAGTAATTGTGACTCACTTGACAGATTCGTAGTCTTCTTGCAAATTGCGAGGTCTACGTGGTGTCCTTTCTCCTATTGACACAAGTTGAACATCAATTAATTATATCTTTTCTTTTGTTGTTAGTGATTGTCGTCATATCATACTTAATAAAAATATAAACAACATTACATTGAATAGCATAATTTGCATTTGAGAAGTTTACAAACCTTTCATACTACAACTATGCCTGGAGCTGCAGCTGGACCGTGAATCAACAAAAGAAGTAGTAGTAGAACTAGCAATAGAAGTAACACTTTTGTGTGTTTGGAATATTTGGTTCTGAAGAGGAGAAGTGAACGGTGCTGAGCGGCAAGCATTTCGCACAGAAGAGATCTTTCCTTTAGAGATGACATAAACAGTACAGAAATCTGGTGCCCCTTTTGATACATTGCTTGGAATGTCTGAAATCTTGAATCTTCTGTGGTAGAAAGTTTATCATCACATGTATTCATATGATATTCATGCCATGATTTACTAGTCATGTGTGTTATAGAATGTGTTGTGCTATTTTAGCCCAAAAATTAGACTCACTTTTCAAACCCAACGATGTGACAATCTATTAGAATATTGAGGTAACTCTCTTTCTCTATTTATCATATCTTCTCTAATTATCAACTAATCATCTCATTTACACATCATTGATTCTAGATAGTGAGTCTAGAAAGTGGGCTTGTATTTCATTTTCTATATAGAATAGATTCATTAATGTTTCATAGCCTCCTTTTTTCTCTCCCTCTCCCTCTCCCTCTCCCTGCATGGGAATGTGCAACAAATTTGCTTCTTATTTGCCCCATTTGTGTTGGTTAGATTCTACATGAACATGTTTTATATATCATCGAATCCAATTCAAATTAGTATTAGTTTTACAAGGAATCATTAATTTTATTCCTTGTAAGGAATTGTGTGTTCTCTTTACCTATTGAATTAATTGTTGAAATCAAGCTTACATTCTCATCTTAGCTGAGGAAATTAAAGAAAATAAATGTTTGTACATCTCAATTTATATTATGAAAATATATGGGTCAAACTTTAAATAATCTCTATAACAGAAGAAGAAGAAGAAGAAGAAGAAGAAGAAAAAAAAAAACTAGTAATATTATGACCTTCTGAGAAAAAGAAAAAGAGGTTTTAAAAGGATGTGTCCACACTGTAACATTGATATTTTAGTGCATCTCAAATGGGATGGAAACATTTGCCCATTGAAATCAGAAAAGTAAATTCTGTTATTGTTGATTGAGCTTCATGACAAAATGCATTTATTGACGATGAATATTCAACTATGTTGACTTTCGTTATCTTATTTGGAGTTCACTTTCATTTTGTTTGTTGGAAACAATCTTTTTTTACTAGAGCTAGGGTGTTTTTTTTTTTTAGGTTGGTCCTTACTAACTCTAGAAACTTTTTTTATTATTATGATTTTGATCCTTGCATATGATTTATTCTTGTGCCAAATTAGTTGTGATATATTTTTTTAGTCATGAGTGTTGTAGTTTGGGATCTCATGTGTGTAGATTTTTAATTACATCAATACATATATATATATATATATATATATTGTTGACCAAAAAAACAAAAAAAACAAAACTTCCTATTGAAATATTTGAGTTCATGTTGTATATATGTTCTCTGATGTAGCATAACACAAGTGTTGGTAATTAATGAATGAGGACAAGCAATTGATTATTAGAATAAAGAACGGAGGACACATTTGTCTCACCTGATAAAGCCATGTCTTGATGAGGCACCAAGAACCAAGTTCTCGATGGCAGTATAAGTAACATACTCTAATAATGCTTTCACTATATCTGTATCTTCAAGTATGACATCAAGACACTGTATCTGTTACATGAAGTCGAATTAATAAATTGTTGTAATTAATTTAACCAGTAGATAAATGTTAATGTAAATGTTTTGTTATGAACTTAGCCTCAAGGGAGGAATTATAGGATGCCTCCTAATTTATATTTTTCACATGAAAAATTGTATTTAGAATGTTTTGAGATAACTCCACAAATATTTTGGATTTTCCATTTAGCTCTCTCTCTCTCTCTCTCTCTCTCTCTTTCTCTATTCTCTAATATATAAAAATAGATATATTTTCCATGCAAGGTGCCCGTCTACCGAAGGAACTACTTTTGTTTAATTAAAAATAGAAAATTGAGATTTTTAAAGCCCTTTAATCAAAAGTCATAGACATAGAACCAATAATGTGATGTTCCGAATCTTTTTAAAGCAAATTGAGTGCACTAATCAGTAAATTCTATCACTTGTGTTGTCTTCGTCATCGTTAAACCTTTTCAGTTTTGTGTGGTTATCCCTTCTTCCTTGTTGTTGTTCTAGTAGGTATATTTTTGTGAGTTCCAAGATGTCTTCTTATACTTTGGGTGTTGGAGTGAAACCGGGGAGATGGGTTATGTTTTGAGGATGCTTTGTCTCACTTCAAGTTGAGATCGCTCGAGCGGTCTTTTTTGTTGCTCGAGTGGTGAAATGGACCTTCCAGTTCTTGTTTTACAGTCTGAACTTCTGGGAGCAAGTGTTCTTCGCTCGAGCAAAGCTTCCATAGCTTGAGCGGTCCTTTACAAAGGAGGAGTAGAGATTCTAGGAGTTGGTATTCTTCGCTCGAGGTCAAATTTGGTCGCTCGAGCGATATCTCAAATTTGAATTCTTCGCTCGAGCGCGAGTTTGGTCGTTCAAGTGGTTTGTTTGCAGTCTGTTCTGAAAATTATGTCAAATCACTTCAATAGTTGACCCATACACACTTTTCCATCACTTTTCACTTCACACTCTCTCTACATTAACCCTCACTCTCTTTTCTCTCATCTCTCTCTAGGAAACCCTCCACCCACTCCAATTACTCCTTTATCTCTGATCATCCATTGAGATCTTGACCTTAGTGTCTTCTTTAAATTTGGAGAGCTCATCAAGGGTTATGTTTTGTACGGAGGAGATCAGATTTTAACGCCATTGGTTTTGGAGCTTTTCATCTTTTTCTTCCCAAGAGCTTGAGATACAGATTTTCTTTGAGTTATATATATGAGTTTTAGTATATCTTGTTAATTTCACTAAAATTTCTAGTTTGGGTTTGGGGTTTTGAGATGTTGAACCTAGAGAATGTTAGAGAAATGATCTCTTTCTCATGATTCGGTCCGAGATAAATTATTTTGTGAACTATGAAACATTTGGGGATGCATACTTGTAATCGTTTTGAAAATGAAGAAAAACCCCTTTTTTGATCAAACCCTAGGTTTTGGGGTAATTTGGAGAAATTGAAATGGGTTTAATATTCATGAAATTGATGTTAAATCTCTTGAAAATCGAAGAAATCTTCCTTAGGTGGTTATGTTGTTGAAGCACACATGAAAGGAATAAGAATTTTGGTTGAACAATTATGGTAATATGTGATGTATAAGTTTGAATTTTGGAAAAAATGAAAATGGATGCTGATTATGAATATGAGGAAATACCATATGGCACATGGATTCGTACCTTACTATGATTTTCAGAACTATTGAATCATGGAAACTTTATTTGAACAAATGCGAAAATTATGGAGATATTGTACAAAGAAGAAATTTATATGTAATTATTTCTCATTTCATTCATTTGTATTATCTTGAATGTTATTCACTCACAATCTTGACTCGGAAATTAATTCATTGTTTTGAGAAAACAACTGTTGTTATTGAAATGTTTTGGGATAAATATGTTTGGTAAGTCCAGTTAGGGGGTGCTACTCGTATTGTTAAGTTGGCCTAAGTGTTTAGGGTGAAAAACTGATAACATGTGCAGAGGAGATATTACGTGCCTTCCGGTTAGGAGCCGGTAAAGTAAGAGAAATGATAGTGCTTTTTATGCCTACTTGGAAACACCAGGCTAGAGATTACCTGAGTTGTATTTAACACCCTATTGTCTAAATTTGGTTTTTATGTTGAAAATGAAGGTGAATAACATATTGCTTGAACTTCAAAGGAAATGAAGAATTTTGACATTTGAACATGGCATGGCATTGCATTCATATAAATGAGATTGCTTAAAATATATATACTTTGTTAAGACATCTCTACTGGGTCTTGTGCTCACCCCTAGTAGATTTGTACACGAAAGGATGCAGTGATCTCGCCTAGTTGAAGGTGTGGAGTGTATTGAGGGCAAGAGGTTCTCCCTTTTTGTATGATTTTGTTGCAAGCCCAGGGCTTAATATGTTTGGGTTTGACAACCTTTTTGTGTAACCAGGCTTAAGCCTTAGAACTTGTAATATCAAGGCATCTACTTTATTATTCATTCCTTTCACTTTTATATGGTTACACATGCTACGGATTCATCTTTTAGGAGGGTGAATATGTATTGGTTGATTGAGGTAGGATTGTGAGTTGGGTATATATATTTATCTTATCTAATTTATTGTTTAAAATCTTTGGGGGCGCTACAAATAAGGTTGACTTACAAAATTCCATCAGAAATAACTTTTCGCGAAGTTGTGCAGTACTTTAATGGCATTCACTTATTCTCTATACTCATATACGATAGCCAATTTCCATTATTGACCTATTAACGTACGAAATTTACATACCCTAGCCTATAAAAATATATTCCGGAACAATATTATTGATTTTTGTTGGAGCTTATTTTCTTTTTTAGTATTATAATAAAAAAAAATTCTAAATTTTTGTAAAATTATGTAGGGTAATGATAATATTATCCATAGAAATCTATTTGGTAATACCAAAATGTTACTACCCAATGTACTTTTTTATTTCAAAGGATTTTAAAAAAAACATTCACCAAACATCCATCTTCATTTCAAAGTCCGTCTCTAATAGACATTATAAAGGGCTTCTGGTTAAAGGACATCCTTTTACAGGAAACTATGCCAAACATGTAATTATCTAGCATTTTGAGAATTTGATGATGGTAGTGTGTCCACCCAATAACAAAGAACTATATAATTGCATACCTCCAAAATATAGGCATATATGAAAAACTACATAACACTGTTGGTTGAGCACACAACCACATGGTTCTCGAAAGACTAAATAATTTCTACTAGCTTGGAGAAGAAACAAGATAGCGCGCGCACACACATATAGAGAGAGAACATACATCTTTGCGGGTACAAAAGCAATGGAAGGTAAGGAACAAGTCCTTGGTTTGCTTCTCAAGTTGCTGCCTGTGTGCAGATCCAACCACGTTGTTCACATCACAAACGGAAGAATGGCTTGCAGCTGCAAAATATGTATTTGCACCATCCAAAATAAATAAATAAAAATAAAAATAATTACAATTGTTAGCTACAAAGCAACAATAATGTTAAGAATAGGATCACAATCCAGAGAGGACCACAATATAGTGGATTCTAATTGATTTCAAACTTCGTTACTTGGCCTTCATGTGTCATCTAATCCTAATTAAAGATACTTTATATTTCAAATTGTTCAATTTTGATTTAACTAGATTAATCAAATAATGTCTTGTCCAACTCAAATATTCAAATCAATTTCAAAAAATTTTCAAATCTCGTATGTCTAGTTTAAGTGACATTGCAAGGAAGTATGCATGAGGATTTTGTTTCTTCTTTTTTATTTTTGATCAGCAAAAGAATAATTTTTATTGATGTCAAATTAGTACAAGGTACAAAATAAATTACACCAATAAAGAAAAAAGGAGTGCAGAAGAATCACAATGAGCTAAATGATCCCGGCTAGGATGGCACCAAAAAGCCCATCCTATCATTTGCTAGCACCCCCAAGTTGGTGAGGAACCAACGAGAGCAGCTAGACATCACCTGGTGGACAACACTATGTGCTACTAGACACCCTCTGGTGAACACCAGCCGCAACCAAACACAAACAAGAACACAAACAAACCTGCAGAGCAACCCACTAACAGTACATACTAACAGCCAGCAAGCTCCACAAACAACACAGATGAGGATGAAGTAGCAGCCACAGCAGTGCATGTCCTCATATCAGCAGAGCATGAACAATGTGACACTAGCAGCAGCCTCATAAAGAAGGGGCAAAAGGGGTGCAACACGACGATTTCCCAGGGAGTCACCCATCCTAGTACTACTCTCGCCCAAGCACGCTTAACTGCGGAGTTCTGATGGGATCCGGTACATTAGTGCTGGTATGATTGCACCCTTGTTTCTTCTTTTATCAGGTGGTTTTGCGTATCTAATTTTATATTCAACAAAACGTAACGAACTTTCTATTTTTCATAATAAAAGCCACAAGTTGACCTTCAATACAACCCTTTTAGCAGAAAAAATATTAGGTGTTCCTGAAGCAATACTCCATATTATTTAATAGTTTATGCTTTTTATGTTATATTTGTAAAATTAAATCTTCCCATAAGTATAACTAATTATTTTTGCGAGTCCCATTAACATATTTTTAAGTATACCATCTATGGTGATTTGGTAGATAGAACAATATTTCTCACTTTTGAGGTGGGTTCATATGAGCATGAGTTTTGGTTAGACCTATTTCACCAATTTTAAGAAGGTAACAAGTTGATAAGTCTTAAATGATTTTACACTAAATAAGTGATAGAGATAAATATTATATGCTGATTTACTCCAAATTTTTTTTTGTTATGTGTTCTATTGTATAAATCAACACATATAGCAAATCAGATGAGGCTGTAAAGACGCGAGTAGCAGTAGTAGGAGAGTGTTTTACTCTTCGAATCTCTCTCAATGCGTTCTTTTTTCCTTGTACCTTTAAATTTCATATTTTTAATGAAATTTTTTCTTTGCCGATCAAAAAAAAAAAAGAAAAAGATGACAACTAAATATTTTCACTCTCTCATATATCATTTTCTCTTCTTTTGATATCCTCTCTCTTCTTTTATCATTTTCTCTTCTTTTGATATCCTCTCTCTTCTTTTTCTCTTTATGGAACAATGTTAGAGCTTGAGGTATCCACATAGAGCACTCTAGTAGCCCCTGCGAGAGGGGTTTGCAAAAATCATGTAGAAAAAGGAGCTTGTAAAGCAAGCTTTCGATCCTATGTATGGTTCTTAATCTACATCAGGTGTTCTTAGATATCCCTTATATTTTCTAGCAATGGTAACAGAGTCTATGAATGATTGTTTTGGCGATTTACATGTAATAAAATTTATTAGTATTGAAAGTATTTTTCATAAGCTTAAAAGGGTAAATGAGTTTTAAGTTACAACCTATTTTGCAAGTATGTGTCTTTGTATACTACGATTGATGTTTGGATGATATTTAGTATAGTATGATTTGCGTACATATTTGTTTTATGATATTTTGGTTTCTGAGTCTTCTTGGAATACATTGAACACTACGTCAATTTGTTAGGTATAGAGAGGATTTTAAAAGAAAATGATATTGGAAGTAAATTGGGAATGCTTACATTTTTATGAACCCAGTAAATGGTTGACGTGTTGGCATGAATTTAATAATGAGAATGAGAAATTTCATTGAAGTTAAGACACTTTAATTTTGAGTTTTTACGTTATTACTATTAAAGTTCAAGGGTGTGTGATGACACCAACATGCATATCATTATTGCATTTGTCTTATTATGTGAAATTTGAATGTTTAAAAGTGTGTTATATGCTTAATTTGAATATATCTATTTGAATTATGGAATATCTGTTAGAATACTTGTTTCGAATCGGAAATTGAAGGCCTTAATGAATTCAGAAACTAAAATTGATAAGTTTAATAGGTTAATTCGAATATTTAGAACCTTTTGAGAATTTAATTAAAATTTTGATTCAAATTAAAATTAATTAGAATAAAGTTAGATTAATTAACCCTAAGTATACCTAATTAGTCTAAACTAATCCTATGTATATAAGACTAAGCAATGAGGGGGAGCCCATTTTCTATACAACTTTTGTTTTGGAATTTTTGAGAGGAAGAGAGGAAACCTAATCCTAGTGAGAGAGTAGGCTCAAGCTTGTAGTTTGTGAGGGGTTTGTAGAACTCAAAGATTTGTGCTAGAAATCTTGAATTCAAACTTTAGGTATGTATTTGATCCTTAATTCTTGTAGACAAATCACCTAGAAGTTGAGTTCATGAAAGAATTAAGATGATATAAAAGGAATTTGAAGGAATTAACTTAAGAAAATGAAAAATTGGCTTAGAATGGGCATGCATGCATAATTCCATCATGTTTTACTATTTTGAGCATGAATTCTATCATCTTTGTTGGATTGGAAGTTAATATGCATCTATATTTTTGATTTTGAGAAGTTTGAATGTTTGAGTTCGTGAATTTAAAGGACCAAGTTCATATTTTGAGAATTTTGAGCAAAAGAGTTTGGAACTCCTTATGCATGGAGGTTTTGATTTTAATTTTGACAAATTCATGAAGTTTTGAGTTGTTGACTTCAACTTGGTTGTATATTCATGTTTTTCTAAGTATTTTTAAGTGTTTGGACAAGCCATGCAAGCCTTTGAATCATGGACTCTTATTTTGAAGCTCAGAATTTTGTGTAGAAAATTTAGAATTCGATCTCATCGCTCGAGCGATAAAGTTACTGCTCGAGCGCACTTTGTGATGATCCAGTAGTTTCCTAGAGTTTTGCAGACCGCTCGAGCGAACTCAGTTTTCATTACACTTGTCTCGAGCAGCCATCGAGCCTTGATTTTGAGCATCCACTACTTTTTCAGACTAACCAGACCACTCAAGCGACCAAACGTGAGCTCGAGTGAACACTTTATTTTCAACAACTTTTAAAATACACTTTAATTTGCATATTTTCACTTCCACATTATTTTAGGCATTCTTAAGCATTGTTTAGGTTTCATTAAAGAAGGAATAAGTTAGAAACCCATTTAAGGAATTGAATTAAGATAGAATGATTGTTTGAATTTTGTGTTTCATGTGTACTGGTTATGTGTTTTGTGTAGGTTGGTCACCCGAAGCCTAACGTTTGTTCAAGCCCATTGTGAGTAATATTTTTACGAAAGATATATTCAAAATGTATTTGAATTGTTCAAAAATAATATTTTGGAATCTTATTTTATTTATCTATAAATGAATGTCCCTTTGAAAATATATTCGTGACATCCTTTAGGGGGGCACTTGCTTGGGGGACGTAATACCATTGCCCATGGATCAATTGAAACATAGAGATATCTAATGTTAGACCCTAGTAGTCCACGCCTGGGGGACGTAATACCATTGCCTATGGATCAATTGAAACACAGAGATATCTGATGTTAGACCCTAGTAGTCCACATCGAATTACCCATCGTGATTCTATTGTTTGACCTATATGGTCCTATTAAATTGACTTTAATGGTCCTATTGGCTTTGATAGATTGATATCTTGTTACTCTATTGGATGTACCACATATAATGTTTTGAATGGATATTGTTAACACAAAGGATTGATATGATTAGATATATGAATTGTTTTTAGAAATTGAAAGATATGTTTTATGAGATGTTGGACTTCATTCATCAACCTTTTATATTGATGTTACTCATTGGATTTTAGCTCACCCCATTCTCTTACATATATGTAGGTGGGCATTTGGAGGATCAAATATAGAGTTGCTTTTGGAGTCCACCCTCTTTTGTGAAGTCAGCTGTGAAGTGCCTCCGTGATGGGGCATTTGCTGGATCTCAAGTGGAGTCAAGCTTTTAAAAAACCTTTTGTTCTTTTGTTAAGTTTTTGATTTTGTTATGTGATGAACGAGTTTGTATGTATGGCAATTAAAGTTTAAACTTTCTGTGTGTAATATAAGTTTGGGATGTAATGGTATATATATTGAAGCTTAACATATAAGTACGGCTCAATGGACTTGTTTTATTTGATTCTTACTTCTGCTAAGCCCCGTAATTTATCTGATGATTTGGTTTAGTCATTGAGGCCATAGGTAATCTATAATTACTGGCCGGTCATGGCCTAGACCTTTAGGGGCTGGTTCGGGTTGTGACAGGTTGAAGCCTTTTGTTATTTTTGAGTTTGTTTAATCACTTGGACTTGTGAGCCATGTTCAAGTATACATTTTTAATCACTTGGCCTATTCTTAATGTATATATGCAAGTTTACATGTTCATGTACGCAATATGTCATTTAACCATTTTTAATTCATTCTCTTGTATAATGAAGTGAACATAACTATTTATTTTCAATGAAACTTTAACTCACACAAATTTAAGTATTCAAAATATTCCATAAATCAATGAAGTCATCAAGACTCATTAATTGAAACTCAAGAATAACACGATTCCCAAATCGAGGTCCAAATCTAACTTTGCCGAGCTTTAAAACCACAAGTTGTGTACGAATATGTGGTGGCTTTCATAGTTCTTTAATCCAACCAAATTTATAGGGTACTAAGTCAAAAGACTATGGGTACCAACCCCACATGGGTTTTTACGAGCATATGCCCATGAATAAATTTATTATCCTTATACTCCTAATTTATATATGGTATATATTCCTACATATATTAGGTATTGATTTCCTAGATATATTAGGTATTGCTATAATTAGGTCTTTTATAGGATACTCTTTCTCATAGTTAGATTTCTAGTAGGATACTCTTTCTCAGCCTATATATACATGTCTTCTATTGTATATGACAATTTATTCAATACAATACATTTTTTTTTTCTCTCTCTCTACTATTCTAACAGTAGCCATTAATCAAAACCAGTCAACTAAGTGCAAAATCCCTAGAAACTCCCTCAGCCAAGATCAAAACACCACCAATACTTGAATCAGCCACAAGAATGAGATAACCATTAGAAAAGTTATCCATCTGGTGGAAATCTATAGATTGTAACCAGAGGGAAGCTTTTTCTCTCTACATTTTAGAGAGAGAATCTCCTGACTTTCATCTCCTTTCTTTTTAACACATCTTGGCCTTTTTGTTTCACGGGATGAATGCCTTTACATTTGATGTCTTAGGTTAATGATCTGGTTTCGGAGTGCCTTTCAGACATATTGTTTTACCTTTGGAACCTTGAGAG